CAACAGGTCGAAAAAAATTCCCTAAACCTCCAAATGGCAAAAAAGGACAAACAATTCAGAAAAAACCCTAGGATATCTCGAAAAACTCCGAATATTTCTTGAAAAAAAAAACCTAAAGTTCTGAAATCGTTTTATTTAATTGGATTAAAAAAGCAAGAAGTATAGGTAAAACTTGCTAAAAACTATTCAATTCCAAACTATAAGTCATTGAAAAAATTACGAAAGGTACCGAAATATCTCAAACGGTTTAAAGGAATTAAAAATTTCGGAAAAATCTCTGCATATGTCTCGACGAAAAATACAAGAAAATTCCGAAAATTCTCAAAACCCGAAAAATTCTGGAAGTATTCCGAAAGCTTACATGTACCACAAAAATACTGCAAAATCCCAAAAAATCGCCAGATAGTTTTGAAAAATCCCGGGGAAAGTTCAATTAGTCCCGATAATATTAAAGTTCTCATCACTTGATTTGTTTATCGAAACCCAAGAAGCAAAACAAAGTCTATACTAAAAATTCAAAAAAAAAAACTAGAGAACCATAAAGAACGGAAATATCCGAAATATTTGAAAAAATCCCAAAGAGTCTCCAGAAATTGCGATATATTCTTAAAAAAATCAAAATAATTAAAATTCTCCTTATTTCATTTGGCGTTAGAAGTCTAAACTACCCAACAAAAGGCGAGGAGATACAAGAGCCCGAAAATGTAGCTCTTTTAATTTTCTATTTTAAATTTGAAATTAATTTTTTTTTAATTTGTTAGTTTCCATATTTAATTTTTTTTTTTAATTCTCATAATTTTTAAATTCCTCATTTTCTTAACTTTTAATTTTTTTCCAATTTGTTAATTACTATTTTTGTTTTCAAAAGTATGACGCTTAATTGTTTCCCAAAATGTTTTAATTTGTTTTTTTTTTCTTCCGAGGTTTTATTTATGTTTTCTCCAAGCTTTCAAATTTTATACTTTTCTTTGTTTCTTTTTCAAATCTTGCATTTTGTTAATACATATACATATTTCATTTGGCATTAAAAGTCTAAACTACCCAATAAAAAGCGAAGGGGCACGATAGCCGGAAAACATGGCGTTTTTTTTAATTTTCGTTTAAAACTTCTAAATTTTTAATTGATTGGTTTCCGTAATTTTATTATAATTTTTTTAATTTTTCGATTTTTAGTTTTCTGATTTTCATGATTTTAAATTTTTTCAGTTTTTTTTTTGTAAAAAGTTTGTTTAAATTTTTATTTTAAAAGTGTTTTAATTATATGTAAGTTTTTAAGTTTAATTGTTTCCCAACTATTTTTAATATATTTTTTCCAAGCTTTTGGTTTGTTTTGTCCAAGCTTTCCTTTTTTATCTTTGTTTTTTTTTTTGGTTTTTAATTTTGCATTCTATTAATATATTTTTAACTTTTTCCTATTTTATTTTTGTTTTTCCTCATTTTTGTTACAAGCGAATATTTTTTTTAACCTAATAAATTAGAATTTTTTGATTAAATTTATAACCCGCAGAGAAGCCAAAAGTATGTATATGTGGGTGCCATCAAAGTGCTTTTGATATGGTTGCGTATCCGCCACGTACACTCATTTGCAATAAATTCCTTCAAAAGCAGCTATGTGCAGAACAATTAATAAAATTTAACGAAAAAATAACACATTTCTGCAGTTGTGTTGAGTGTACTATTTGTTTTTTTATTGAATTTTATGCCTCATTGGTTTCTACGTTTTCGATAAAATAAAAACCGACAATTTCTTAAGCAAACAATCCAAATAAGAAACAATATACAATGCAGTGAATAGTGAATTTAAACACTAAATGAATGCGAAAAAAGAACTGCACTTCGCACAAGAAATAAATTTTGTTAGAATAACAAAGAAGCTTTGAAATGCCAGCAGAACAAAAATAAAATACCAAATACGATAAAATCACCAAAATTTCCAAACGACCGAAAAGCGCCAACAAAAATATTTAAGTAAGCACGTTTTGCAACTAAATAAAAATAAAAAACACATCGAGAGCGCAACAACAACTGCAACACTAACAAAATTGAAAATTACAACAAACCGAACACAAATTTCCATACACTCGAGCAAGGCAGCAGCAAGCAGCCAGCGTTGCATATTAATGAGCGCCAGCCGTTGTGTCCTTGTTGCCGGTTGGCGGTTGGCGAGCGGTGTGTTGGTCAATCCTTTCACTAACCGCCCGCTCTACCGCTCGCGGCCGCACGTCTGCCTACACACCTGGTGACCGATTTGGCCACAATTTACGTTTGTGTGCAAGCTCAACAGCAGTGGTGTCTGTCTCTCTGTCTGTGAGTCCCTGTGTGTACATAGATGTGCGCAGTTGAAAATCGCTTACGCATTTTGCATAACAGTGCAACGCAAATGCTGCCCGCTGCTGTGGAATTTTCATGCAGTGGTGCACGCCAAGTAATACAATGCAATTGTGTGTGTGTGTGTGTGTGTGAGTGCGAGTGTGTGCGTTTCCCTATAAATTTGTGTGTCTGCCTGGCCGGCTGTGATAATTTATTTTGTATATGCAGGTCTCTTTTGCTGCTGAAATTTCTTTTTCGTGTATATTTTTCGTTTCACTTTTGGGTTATTTGTAACTTTTTATGCGAATTGATTTTAATTTCATGACAATTGTTTTCTGTGCTCTGAGTGTGCGAGTGTCCCTGCATATTTTGTGCTCTTTGCACGTTTTACTGCATTTTACTGCACTTTTTTCTGAGGGTTTTTCATTTCGCAGTAACCTTTTAGTTTTATCGTTTAATTTGGTGGTTTGCATAAAAATTGGCACCAAAACGTGCTGCCATCGACACCTGCAGTAATGTTCTGTTTTTGGCATAAAATGTCTACACTTTGTGGCATTTGCATTTAAAATGTGTACGCTTTTTGTTTCACTAATAGTCGATAGCCTAGCATGCTGAGTAAGCGGTGACCGGTTCGGAGGGACGACTGCACTCCACCAACAGTCAAAAGCATATTTTTTAATGAACAACAGGCAGATGATTTCATATTTGCATCGTTTTAAAATAAATTATGGACATACTTTTTTGATCACTTAAATGCTTGACATATACTTATTTATTATGTATTTAAAAGTTGGAGATATATTTTTGGTCATTCAAAATCTAGACATAATTTTGGCCATTGCGTTAAACATATAGACTATAAAAAGTAGATGCCTCCTAAAAGGTACAAATTGGGCAGAAAACTTCTTCATACTTTGAATATATGTTCACTTATTAAGATTGAAAATTGCTTTCTATTTTTACAGTTAGTAAAAGCCAACTTCATACCTAAATGTAAATGTCAAGAAACTGATGCCTATTTTTTAATGCCCAAAAAATTATATCTATCTAGCGTTTCGGTGACTAAAATGTAAGCCAAGTTTTTAAAGGACCATCAATTTATTAAAAATTGTCAACATTCAAAAACTTAAGTTCAATTTATAATTTATCATAAATTTTTGTCCAGTATTGCGAAAATTTATAATTTATACATATTAACATACGCATACATACACATACACTAGCGGCCTTTATACTATTTTAAGCTATTAAAATAAACAAAAAATAAGTAAACTTTTGGCTTAAGTGGCAACCCTGGTGAAAAATCTGTTCTTAACTAATAGCGGATTTTAACAGATAGTTTACGTACGCGAAAAATTTACCAGAAATAAAATTTGTAAAATTAAAAATTTTGAACTTGTTACATTGGAATATGTGTAACGTAACACTTTAAACTCAGTCTGAATTTGCAAACTTTTTTTATACAGCTTATGTCCCTGAAACCACCTTATGTGCGATTATTTTACTCGTTTCATTTATTTTCTCTATTTTAATTTTTGTTAGCTGGCAATTCTACTTACTAATTATTTTAAATGCAAAAGTCACATTGTAGAATTTTAAATACTTCAAATGGGTTGTTCTATTCATTTAATTTTTGTTGTGTGGCAACTCTGCGCAAAAAATAATTTTTTAATAAAATAAATTTTACATAGCTTTCGTAGGAAAGTCGCATTGTTTTATGTTAAAAATGTCGTTTATTTTATGCACATATTTTTCTGTATGTCAGATGGCAACTCGACATAAAATATTTTTAAACCAAATATGTAATTCTGACATGATGTTTATTAGACAGCGACATTTAACATTAATTAAAATTTTATCTTTCTGGCAACTCTGCATCAAAGTTAAAATTATTTTTATCCGAATTTTAAAAAAACATTTTGGTATGCAGTTACATAGCAAGTTACAAGTTTGAAGTTGTTTTTGGCAAGCTTTTTTTTTGTTGATGGTGTTTTTTTCCATATAGCAGTTTTTCCGTACACCATATGCTCAAAAATTTTTTGATAGCTGGCAGCCCTTTTCAAAATAGTGTTTTTTTTAATATTTTTAATAACCATTTCTATGTTTGGCATGCATCTGATTATAGTTCTGTAATACAAAGCATACTTAAAATATTTGACTAATTAGATTTTTATACAGTTGGCAACTCTGCTCACAAAAATTTCGATATTACATTATATTCTAAAATATACTTAAACTACTCTGTATTTGCTTGCTCTTATAGAAATCTTCTAAACTGTTGAGCTAATCATTTATTTTTTTTTTGTGAGAAGGCAACCCCGTGTGAAAAACTATTCATGTATTACAAATTCTTAAAATACCGCTCGTTTGTATTTGCTATACCCAGCGCGAGTGGTTAATTGGATCTCTTAAGCAGGTGGTAGATAACCCTATTTATCTAATTTAAGTTATATACATACATAGGTGGTTCTTAAATATGCACTTCTTAGACGCTCTAGGGTCCATTTGGTCTAAATATTTAGCTGACAACTTTCACCAAATAAATTCCCTGCCCAGTTCCTTCTTTTCTCGGACAGCCAAATATTTTATTTGCCATCACATTTTACACACCTTTTTTCGTAACTATTCATTCAACTAAGTAATTTCTTTCTCACCATTCTAATCTTTGTCCTTTTGCACTCTCATTTCAGCACCGTTGATCGCTTGTGGTCCATTACCGAAGATTTGAATATTTTATATAAGGAGAATTGGACGCGTCTGGCAGCACAGGAGGTGCAACATTTTCAGGTAAGTGTCGGCAGCGTACGCAAATGAATAGCAAAATATAAAGACATGAACATAAAATCGATGAACTGAAATCGAGGTGAGCTCAAGCGCCAAGTAGCATATGCTTTACATATGTACATACATATAAATACAGGCACACATTGAGCTATGTACATGTGTACATATGTATGTATATTTAAAAGCAAACTTACAAGAGCAAGAGTGTCGATTTTTGTTGTTGTTGTTGGTGAAACGGCTGGCCATTACTGGTCATAGTCGTCATTCCAGCTCCAGTGTCCAGCAGTAGCCAAAAATAAAATAAATATAGAAAAAAATTGTTTCACACACACACTCACTTTCACGTGTATGCACCGTTATACATATGTATGTATGCCAGTCATGACTTGCTTGTTACGCTTTGTAATTTATTTAATGGCTGTACAAACATACATACCTTTTCTCATTCACACTACTTTTTGTACTCTTGCGCGCTTACTCTCCTAGCATACATTTACATAATGCACACTACGAATGTTAATCCCAGGATCCTGGCCTTTTTTAGGTCCCAAAAATCCCGGCATTCTTGGCAAATAATTCTGTAGAATTTAATCAGATTCAATTTTTTGGAGCATAAGGACTGGTAAAAATTGAAAACGCCCTTCTAAAGTTGTATCCTTGAAATTTCGCAATATTAGTTTTTGAAAAAATTGTATGTTAACGACTTGTATAAATTCGATAAGATCCTATCCTTGTGAATCCGAAAAATTTTTTATTTTTTTAATTCTAAAGAAATTTCCTCTTTCATTTCATTGGGTACATTTATTTTTATTCTACATTGCATTGAATTTTTGAAAAAAAATTTGGAATGATTCATATCTTTGAAATTACAAAGACTTTTAAAACAAATCCTTACGTCAGAGAGAAAAAATGAAAAATAAAACTTTAAATAAAAAAAGTAGGTTTCAAACCCATATATTTATTATTTATTTTTTGGTTGAATTTTTTGATTTAAGTTGTTGAAAAGTAATGAATATCTAAATCCCGGGACTAATGTCGGGATTCCGGGATTGTGATAACCACATCACGAAAATCACGGGATCCTAAAAAGCGAAAAAATTAACATCCCTAATGCACAAACACACACACACAATCGCACACATTTGCTTTGGCACTATACCTCATTGTTTCTACTCGACTGGCTGCTGTGGCTGCTGTGGTGGCGGCCGCTGCCATTCATACGCTCATCAATGGTGTTTGCTTTGTGATTGCTATCGCACGTGTCCATTGATGTTTGTTTGGTGTTGGTGTTGTTATTGTTCGTACCGTATGTTAGAATGCAGCGCGCGTTCCAGCATTTGCACTGACGCTAAGTATCTGTGCGTTGACACACGCACTGGCAACTCATTTCCATTTTCATTTCATTTTCACTTTCATTTCAGAAAAAACAAAGAAAGTAGAAATATTCAACGTTCATTGTCTCTACATACATACAGACATATGTATGTACATTGAATTATTCATTTGTTGTTGCATAAATATCTACTAAATATTTTGGCTCATACGCATTTGCTTAGCTTTTCATTTACTAAACTGGTCTCCTTTGCTCACTGCCTCTTTTACGCTTTACTTTGCAGGAGACCCTACTGCGCGCCGTACGTCAATCGAAACTTTATCCACCCGGCGAACAAATGAATCCACCTACACACAAGTGGACTTACGCATCGGCGTTTCTATATTCATTAACATTAATTACAACAATAGGTGAGTACACATAACCTCAAGCAAATCTATTTATCTTATATTCATGTGTAGGTACATACATATATGAGTCACTATGCTCGCCTAATAATGAGTTTCTTGGGTCATTCTTGGTTTGTTCTTTGATTAGATTTGCATTATTGCGCGTAGGAAATATGTATTCCTATTATCAGCGCTCGGAGGCAGACGCACCGAGAGGTTTATCTATTAATTTGTTACTCGTACGTCAGAGTAGTCGGCGGATGATCTTACGAGTGCTTAATTTGCTGTTAAGTGTGGGGTGGAGGGAGAAGAAGGGGAGGGAGGGATGTTGAGTGGTTAGCGTAGGGTCAGATTAATGCCTTAATTATTTGGATGGCGAAAGTTTGGCACGGAAGGAGATTAAATGCCTTAAATACGTTGGGAAAATTATGGTTTTGAAAATGAGTGCTACAAATGTATGTATCGATAAACTAACCGATAACGTTATGTATTTGTAAAAGTAAATGCATGTATCGATAAAAAAATATTCGAACATTTTTCGTACGGCAAATTGATAATAGCAGCGGTTATTCAATGCCCGGTTAACAGAAATCGGAGGTAGAAGCTCCTTTTAAATACAACGACTGGTTTATCGGTAATGATGTTTAACTGGAAAGTCGTGATAACTGCATTGCACAATCGGCCTTAACAGTGATATGCGCCAATAACAACATACATTTTTCGATACATTTATCGATAATACTATCGGTTATTTTTCAGTCAAACAGTGCGCTGTCCTATGAAAATATCGGTTACTTCAGTCGATAAGAATATTCTTTAACTTATTCTTTATTCATTTGATTTACATAATCTGCTGTCATTATTTGCCTTCTAATAGCAAATACCTATCGTACTGGCAATCAAACTAGGGGTGATAACCTTCAAATTATATTGAATATCGATAAACCTTTAGAAATGCATATTAGTAGTGTATAAAATAACGATTTAAATACCGATATAGATATGTAAATATAAATACATCAAATATTAATAACGTAGTATACTGTTATACGTGACAATTATGGGCCGTTGATAGAGCTTTCGATAGCAATTTATAACGCTAAATTGATTGAAAATAATATTTTTTATACGATAAATAAATTGATTATTTTTCATTCGTTTTCGTGATGTAATATCGATTACATGGCATAAAAGACCAACTTAGGTCGTTGATAGCAATTTCGAAAAGCATACTCTTAAGTATATCGAAACATATCATCGATAAATTAATAGATAACTTTTTTCTCTCTTTTAAACCCACGCTACGCCATCATTATCAATTTAATCGATAAATTTTCGGTAATTTTCATACTAGGTTTTCTAAATGATAACCTCTTTATATTTCCCAAAGCCCTACAAAACCTGTGAATATGTAATCCTCCAATTCGCAGCTTTTAAAAATAATTTGTTTGCTATTTCTAACAAAAAATGTGAAGCGTATTTTTTAATGGAAATTTGATATTATTCTCATCGCCTAGCCATTTAGTAGATTTAGCAAGAATTTCCCGCCAATTCGTGATTTCATGTAACTAGTAACAATTGGAATTTAGCTTCGCACCTACTGCATTTTTCCACTTAAATTGTGGAAATTCGCCACAATTATGCCTTTCGTGTGGTTGGTTTAATTGCCTTGCCTTTGAAATCTGGTTAAAACCCAATTTACTGCCGAATGACCGCGTAACCTCTATTCAAAAGCGGTGGGGTTCTAAGAATTTTTAATGTAAAGTGCTATTAATGCGGCATGGCACACTCTAGCATCACTGATGCTGATGCTCAAAAATTATGTATTTGGCGGAAGTGTGCACTATGGCGTATGAGTAATTTTGGACTTATTTAAAAAAAAATAAATTGTGTGATTTATTAAAACCTCTCATTGTGTGTTGCTAGCATTGAGCTCAGACAAAATTCTCATAGAGTATTTTGAATCTGCACTAAAAACAAAAACTCAACTATTGTAAATCTCTTTAATTGCCTATTAATCGATTACGTACTCTTTTTTTTCGTGCACTTTTATTTCTTGCTTTACATACATATTTATCTACTTGGCAGCCTTGTATTCTACATCACACTCTCTCTATATCCACCCTCTTTTGGTTAAGCCGCTCTGCTGTGCTAATACCCTGATTACTTATTTATGGTCACAAGCTTACCTCCTACCAACTATTTAGCTCCTGCGCTTGTACGGCTTCTCATGTGCTTAATAGAAAATTATCCTCCCCGTGCTTTATGTGATGCAACAAAATAATCAGCAAAATAAAAACATTGTGCCATAATACTGAGTGGCCGTAGGTCAAATAAAAAGAAAGAAAAGAATTATATAAAAGCAAACAAAATCACTTTCACATGCCATGGCGAGCGTCAAAGCAAAGTGGTTGCTGTTTGTTGCTTATTTGGTTAATGTGTAGCAACCGACAACGGCCGACCGACGATGACGACGAAAACAAAGTCAAAACGTGCCTGAGTAGCTGGGTAGGCAAATGAGTATAGGTGAGTAGGTGAGTAGCGCAACAACGGTGTAGACAAAGGCGACACGAATTTGCTGAGATTGCATTTTTAGCTTAATTGAAATCAATTTGTGCTTAAGTTTGCTGGTTGCGCTGAGTAGACTATTAATTTTTTGTATAGTTTTTTACTTTTTTATTTCGACTTTGTTTTATTGGTGAAATTATCTAGTAATTTTCTTTTCAAATCCTAAAGGTTATTGCATAAAATATTTATTTGCAAAGGATGGCTCTAATTGTCCTTGCTTAAGAAATTACAAATTTTTTTCTGCTTAGGGGAGTTCAAAATATGTAAATTAGTTGTCGGTTTCCACCGATTAGAAAAAGTGAAGCATTTAGTTTTTGTCTTAAAAACTGGACATATGTTTTTGAGCACTTAAAACTTATTTTTTGCCACTTAACAACAGGACATATGGTGTGTGTCATTTAAACACTGGACGCAATTTTTTGGTCACTTACAAACTACACTTTTTTTTGGCCATTTAAAATTTGAACAAATTTTTTTATGCACTTAAAACATAATATAAATTTGTGGACATTAAAACGCAGGACTTTTACTTGCGGTCGTTAAGAATATCATCATAAATTTTTATGGCCACTTAAAAACTGGACATAATTAAAAATAGAAATAGGAAATAATTTTTTGATAAATTAATAACTAGACATACATTTCCAGGGTGGTTTTTTGGTTCATTTAAAAGCGAACATAAATTTTGATCATTAAAACACAGCTCATCAATTTTTTGTAATTAAGAGGCTGGTCATAAATTTTGTGATCACTTAAAAACTGGACATATTTTTTGGTCCCTTAAAAATTGGTCATAATTTATTTACCTTTAATAATTTAAAACTGGACAAAAATTTCTGATAATACATACAAAAGCAGGGTATAATTTTTTGGCTCATTTAAAGCCATACATAAACTTTTGGTCATTAAAGCGCTGGACATATATTTTTTTTTCATTAAAAATATGTACATAAATTTTTTGTCACTCAAAAATTGGTCATATTATTTTGGAAATTTAAAAATGGAACATGAATTTCTGGTCTCTTAAAATTGAACATCAGTCTTGGTTCACTTAAAAACTGGACATCATTTTTTGATCACCTAGAAACCGAACATGAATTTCTGGAAATATTTTTTTGAATATTTAAAAACTGAATATAAATTTTTTGCATTTTTTGTCCATAGAAATATTTAGTTCTTCAGATGCGTTCCTAATCTAAGTTGTTGCTGTTGTAGCACATACAAACTTCCCAAAGACGATATGGCATGATATAAATCTGGACCGTTTCGGTTACGAAGACCCGTAGTGGGGGTATCTTAGTCCAAGCCTAGGGCTTTTGTTTATCCAGACTTCAAAGTGCACAGAAAAGTGAAAGTTTGGAGTAGAGTAGGGTATGGTGTGGACGCAGAGTAGATTTGTTAACTTCGCGAGCTCTAAATCTAATTCTAAGTTGAACTCGAAAAGGCAATTCAATGCATGCAGTGACTTGGTATGAGTCGTTTAACGTTCGAGTTGAGAGTATCGAGATTTTTTTAAGAATAAAATTCATTGTAAAAATCCAGATGTAAACTTAATTTTGTACTTACATAAGAAAGGCTTATTTTTAAGAAAATATTTCGGCCATCAGTGACCATAAAATTTATTGTAAAACCAAACAAAACACAGAAAATCCCTACATTTTAATAATAAAATCGTTGTTGCTATGTGGAAAGTTTTTTGTGCATTTGCTTGCTGTCTCATCTCCCAACCGCAAATAAATAGCAAATCAAGAAATTGAAAATTGATTTCAACTCAACAATTTACGCTATTTTTCAAATACGGCTGTCTGTTAATGTGACGATGTGTGTGCAGCACGTTTGTGTGTCTTCTTCAGCACTGAACTGAGTATTTATGCCCCGCAGTCAAGCGTCAAATTTTTACAACGAACATTTTATTGTAGGCAATAAATCGTTAAATGCTTCGGGGAGCAAATGGAAAGGGGAGATGTTGAGGAGCGAAAACCTAAAAATAAATGAAAAACATGGCAAATGCATTGAAAAAAGTACGAAAATGAAGCACCAAAGTTTTAGATAAAAAAGCGACAGAAAATGAGTTTCAAAAGTAGCAATCATAAAATATACGGAAAGCTTGCCAATTGAAGCTGAAAGTAATCGAAGAAAACAATCATTGCTGGATTACACAGATGCCTACATACATACATACGTAAATACACAAATAAATTTGAAAAATCGTCCGTTGCATACAAATAGGCGCAAGAGGGTGTCATATGAAGGCTAATGACAGATAATAATAACAATTGAATGGGTAGAGCAAAGAAATGACAACGATAATTTTCGTAGATGTATATAGATTGTATATGAATAGAAAATAATAAGAAAAACGAAAATCTAGCAAAATTTTAGGCGCATTTTATTCCACTATTTTAACAACAAATTGCTCAAAAAAATTATCCTAAAAGTGTTAAGGAGTCAAA